AAAAAAAAAAAAAAAAATATTTGACAAAATGGCGCGTAGTTAAAAATATTTTTTGAAAACGAATTTTGGATTTTTACTTTAAACTACGCGCCATTTTGTCAATTTTTTTTTTTTTTTTTTCATTCTAGTATACACGATAACTATACTTATACTAATTAAAAATCAGTCATATTTTTTAATTTCAAATCAGAGGGAGAGATCAATTTTTTTTTTTGAGAGGAGGACTTCAGCGCCATTTTTCTAATTTAAGAAAACATTTTTTTTCATTTTGATTTTCATTTTTGTGTAGTTGATAAGTAATAGAATAAGTGTGAAAAAAATTGAAAGCATTAGTCATTCCCTTCATATAGAAATAAAATTTTCAAAATAGCTTAAATTTTAGGCTGCTAGACCACCGGGTCCCCTTAAATATAAATAAATCATTTTAAATACCAAGAAATATTTGTTTAATACTCAAAAGTGGTCTCTAATAAATGATTTGTTAAGTATTAACAAATATTTTTAATACAAATAAATCCTTCTATCAGTGCACAATTTAAAATTTTAACCATAAATTTAATTTTTTATCCAGGTATCTTGTATTGAATCAATGTACGTACATAGTTCTGGACGAAGCAGATCGTATGATAGACATGGGTTTCGAGCCGGACGTACAAAAAATCCTGGAATATATGCCAGTGACGAACCTGAAGCCCGACAATGAGGACGCGGAGAACGAGGAGAAGTTGTTGGCTAACTATAACACCAAGAAGAAGTACAGGCAAACGGTGATGTTCACTGCGACGATGCCTCCAGCGGTGGAGAGGCTGGCAAGGACGTACCTCAGGAGGCCAGCGGTGGTCTATATCGGCAGTGTCGGCAAACCCACCGAGAGGACTGAACAGATCGTTCATATCATGGGAGAAGCTGACAAACGGAGGAAGCTCATGGAGATTCTTAACAGAGGCGTCGAGCCCCCGGTTATTATTTTCGTTAACCAGAAGAAGGGCGCAGATGTTCTCGCTCGTGGATTAGAGAAAATTGGGGTAAGTTTATTTCATTTTATTTTATTTTTTTTAATTGAGAGTTATTATAAGTACTTTTTTTTATTTTTTAGTTTAATGCTTGTACGCTCCATGGAGGTAAAGGACAAGAGCAAAGAGAGTACGCTCTTGCATCGCTTAAAGGCGGGAGCAAGGACATTTTGGTGGCAACTGATGTCGCTGGTCGTGGTATTGACATTAAAGATGTTTCTATGGTCATTAATTATGACATGGCTAAAACTATTGAAGGTATGTTGTGTTTTATTTTTATATTTATTGATGTTTTTTTTTTTTTTTTTTCAGAAAAAAAAATTTCGAGTTTTAATTCATTTACTTGATAATTATTTTTCTGATTTTACTTAAATTATATTATAATTTTTTAAAAATTACAAAATATTAAAAATTTTTTTTTACATAAATTTAATCAACTTTCATAATTTTTTTAAAAATTAGAAATCTTTGTAGTTACTAAATTTTTATTGAAATCACTCAATAAAAATTTATAAGTAATTTTAAAGTTTTGAGACGTTTTGTTAAGAAAAAAATTTTTTTTTTATATTTATTTTACATATGTTTGAAAAAAATACCCAATTTAATCTACTAGATTTTTAAAATGATTATTCAAGTCCATTTTCAAGAAAAAATTATTTTTACCATAAAAAAAAAATATAAGTAAATATTAAAAAAAATTTAATTAATAAATAATTAAATAAAATTAATATTTTTTTCTTAAATATTTTACATAAAACGTCTTTAAATAATTATTTACACAAAATAAATAAATATGATGTCTTAGTAAATTTTAAACTATCAAAAAAAAAAAAAGTATTTTAGATGAAGAAAAAATTTCAATAATTTATTAATTGATATTATAAAATTTTGATTTTAAATTAACATTACGTATAATTTCAGATTACACGCATCGTATTGGTAGAACAGGTCGTGCCGGTAAAGCCGGTCTTGCAATATCTTTCTGTACAAAGGACGACAGTCACCTGTTCTACGACCTGAAGCAGACAATCCTGGGTAGCCCGATATCAACTTGCCCACCGGAGCTCCTGAACCATCCGGAAGCCCAGCACAAACCCGGTACCGTCGTCACGAAGAAACGTCGTGAGGAAAAAATATTCGCGTAAATTTTATATATCAATTATCACTTTATTGTTTGTTACATAAGTATCAATAAATGAATAAATAAATAAATTAATTAATTTATTAAAAGAAATTTCGAAAATCCAAATTGATAACAGAAGTTCGTAATTAATGACAATAGAAATTACTAACAACCTTGCTGTCACTATGTAACTGCCGTAACTTGTGAACTATAAATAAATAAAATTTTGTTTTAATAATTGATAACTTTTGTTAAATTGGACTGTACTTTCTTAAATATTGACGCTTTTAAAGGTGAGCTTATATTTCTAAAAATGTCAATAATTCACAAGATATTTGTTAAATTGCACTGTACTTCCTAAAATATTGAAGTTTTTAAAGATATAAGCTCATCCCAATGTTATACTCATCAAGGGCTTTCATTTGAGTACCCACATGTATTTTCATATATTTTTCATATATTCATATATATAAATATATAAAATATATGAAAAATTGATATGGGTACTCAAATGGAAGGTCTCGATGAGTGTAACATCGGGATGAGCTTATATCTTTAAAAATGTCAATAGTTCTCAAGATACAAGATCAATTATTTCTTAATTATGTATCTAGAAATAGAGAATTTTTGAGAATTGCAAATGCAATAAAAAAATGTAGATAAAAAGTATGATTTTGGACAATAAATAAAACAATAATTATTTATTAATAAATCTTTAAAAATAATTACATAAAATTATCAATTTTTATTTTCAACTACTTCTTCCTCAGGCAATTGGATATTATGATCAATAGAAACAATTTCGTCTATAGCTCCAAGTTTTTCTATCAAAAAATCTACTCGCTTCAAATCGTCCTCCGATAACTCAATAGTATTTTTTGGCACCATTTCATCATCGGCCGTCAGTACCGAGTATTCCCGAGCCTCTAGTTGGTTCTTTACTTTAGGCAGTACAGTCGGATCGCAAACAAACTGTAATATAAATATAAATAATAATAATTAATTACATAATTTTCATAGTTTAGAGCTTGAGACATAACGAAGCTAGAAAATAAAAAAACTTGCTCGGTAAAATTTCCCATCAGCCTCAAACTCCTCAACGTCGTCCGCTCCGACGGTGATCGCGTCTTCGGTAGCAGAGTCCAAAGTGCCTTTGTGTTCGGTAATTATGCACCCCACGTGTTCGAACAAAGCTCCTTTAGATTTTCCTTCCATTGGCTTGCACTTCGATTTCCTGAACAAGGTGTTCAGCGTCATTTTCGCGCCGACTACATTGTGGGACAGAATTTTTACTATGAAATAAGCGCCTCCAGGCCCGCGAAAGTCCACGAACTCAGTTTGGCTCTTGGTTTTGCTCTTTTCTAGCTTTTCTAACAGACCATGGAGTGTCGCCATTGGTATATTCTTTTTCTTTGCTTCGTCAAGTATGCTAGATAGTTTTGGGTTTTCATTTGGTTTGGTATTATTGTTACCCTCTGAAATAAAAAAAGGCTTTAGCTTCTATGACACTGTAATGTAACTAATTATGACTTTTTTTTTTCAAAAAGTGCATTGAAAAAAAAATTTGATTTGACACTTGAGCCAAGAAAATATTTTTCTTCATAATTATTTTCTTGAGCGAAAAAAAAATTTTTTTTTGACAAGAAATATCACTTATTCTAACAAAATTAATTCTCTTGCTTTAAGAAATAGGTATCTTGATCCAAGAAAATTTATTTAAGTCAAGAAAATCTTTTTGAAAAAATTCAGCCTCTTGCTCCAAAAAATTTTGTTTTTGATAGAAGTAAATTTTCATTGATATTTTTATTGATTAAAATGTCAAATGGGAAGATCAAATAATATTGAATCATTTTTTTCCATTCAATATGTATAATTGCACGCTTAAATAATATAAAATAGGTATCAAATATTCAAGAGAAAAATTTTCTCAAGGTAAGAAAATTTTTTTTCAACTGAAGTAAGTGGTGCTGCTGCTTTCCTAAAGTATCTAAAAATCTTGATCAAATATAAAAATTCATTGTATCAAGTATTTATGATAATTTGAATTAAGAAAAAATGACTTTCACCAAGAATAGAATTTCAAGAAAAATTTTTATTTCGGCCAACACAACTTCGGTCTTCCTTCAGGCACCCGAAAATTTTCTCGAGCCAAAAATTATGTTTTCCAGTCAAGAGATTTTTTTTTCTGTGTAGCTATGTAAAAAAAATAAATTTTTTTTTTAATTCATGACTTTTTGGTTGGGTAATAAAATTTGAAAAAATTCTGAAAAGTGTTCACAAATGTTAAAAAAAAGATAAAAAAATTTTAGAAAAATCGACAGGGGTCAAAAGTGACCAATTTGGCTTGAAAAAATTAAAAATCAATTGAACAAGTGTTTTAAAAATTATTCGGATATTTGTAAAGCCTTATCGGAGCGTGTTGCACTTCAATGGTGCTCAAGCTAGAAAACTTTAAAGACCTTCATCTCAAAACGGTATTTTCAAAGTCGGTGAGCAAAATTTATCACAAAAGCCTGATAAGATCAATCTTTAATTTTTATACAATTTTATTATCGATATCACGTTTCAGATGCCATAAGGACCTATACCGGCAAAAAACACCGGTGAAAAGCCATAAGAGGCTATAAAAAATTTTTTTTTCGGAAATCGACGTATTTTCGTCCAAAATTTTTTTTCTAAGTGTGCTAGAACATGTTACACAGAAAAAAAAACTTCTTGCACCAAGAAAATTTTAAGGAAGACAAAAGTTTTTTTGGAGCAAGAAGAAATTTTCTTGGCTCAAGAAACTTTGACTTAATTCAAGAAGTTATCAATCTTCCTTAATATTTTCTTGAGCCACGAAAATTTTCCCTCCAGTCAAGAATTTTTTTTTCAGTATAGGCTTTAAAACTCTCGATAAATTTATTTCTAATGATTATTATATACCAACTAAATTGTTTTTGCATCCCCTAGAAGATTTTTAGGCCAAAAAGTTACGATTAGTTTATTATTTTTGTAGAAATTCAAAATTTTCAAATTTACACCTTCGCATTTGACTTGAAACTTACCGGCAACAGCAACTTTGATGCGCCTCGAAAAAGCTAAAGTCAACGATGATTTCTCAGCATCTTTCAACGCCTTGGTATGCGCGATATTTTGCCACTTGGCGTGGCCCTTTAACCTCTTGTCTTGTCTTATCAATCCGCAAGCTACCCTTTGGACACATAGTCTCGTAAAGCTGTACATTACTCTTCCTGAATCATCAATGGGGTTTTGCTGTTAAAAAACTTGTATATTGATCAATTCTTAGACTGTTTAATCTGAAAATTAAAAAATTAGTTCCTTAATTGCTCTCCTAGATTATTTGTAATTTAACAAAATTCTTACCTTAATATCCTACTGATTTGTAGGAATGATAGTTACTGATTGACTTTACAAGTCAATCCTGATGTAAACAAAACCTATTTTTCTAATTCGTGTGCTAACTGGGGATTTAAGTCCATGTGACTTCTCAGTTGGTAACTAAGAAGATTATTTTAGATCAGAAACTGGAAGTCGCTAAAGTTGAATTCTTGGTATCTTAGAATCAGTCGGCAAGGTTGAAATAATTACTTTCAATTGCAGTCTAAATAATTTTCAAGTACCCTGATAGCCATGCGTCTAGAATCGACAATCAACTTATCCTAAAGAATTGAAGAAGCAATTCCCTGATAGCCAAACCGGTCGCAACTTTCCGTTGATTTGCTGCAGCAACTTGTCACCAAGTTGGCGGCAAGTCTTGGAAATGAACTCGGTTGTTCACCAAGTTGTCGGCAGAAATTGCTTTTGAAACTCTTTCGCACCAAGTTGACGACAAGTTTCTCGAGAAATTTGGCGACATATTGCGGCAGTAGATTGGTCTTGTTTTTCTCAGAAACTTGTAGCCAACTTGACGCCAACAGTTTCAAATTCGGAAGTTGACCGCAAGTTGTCGGTAAGTTGGTGGCAACTATCTGACACCAACTTGGTTGGTCTGAAACTGTAGTTATCAGGGAAAAGTTTTAGATAAGTTGACAGTTTTTATTTTTAACGCCTAATTTATTATCCTATTATTATTGTTATTTATTCATTAATATAAAAAGAGAGTGTGTATTAATATGAAATAAAAGAAAAATCCAATAGAACAAATGTGAAGCTCGTTGGTTATGTTCAGCGAACATCTGTAATCACGATATCTCTCTTAAAACTGGACCAATTGACCCGATTATTTTCAGTCCAACTTGGTACTGCTCTCTAGAACGACCCTAGAAAAAATCACTGATAAAATCCTCGCAGTTTATTTACAGTAACTATTTTAGTGTGAAAACTGGCGTGCAAAGTATCGCCGCCATTGTTTTTTTTCAAAGTGTTGTCGTCGACTAAGTAGTGGCGCCTGTGTAAAAAAACCCGATGAATTTGAAATAACTAAAAATTAATCTTCATCAGAAAATTCTAATACCAAAATGTTGTTTAATTATTAATAATATATAATTTATTCTTTTGATTAGAGAGAAAATCACCCGTCAGCAGCAACGTTAGTAATTATTAAATTAAAATTTAACAAACTCTTTTATCAATCTCCGCCCCATTACACGTTACTTACATTATAAATCGATTCATTCAAGCTATTATTTTTTACACGATTAATCAATTTACTTCCGACTCTCCGGCTTTTATTTCACATGAATACCATCTTTTTAACTCGCTCTCAATATTTTTTATTACAAGTAAATTTCTTGAGGCTATTTTGTACAAATTTATCGATATATTTTCAAAATTTGCAAAATCAATTATCAAACTTTCAAAGACATGTATTAATTTTGTGAATTCTTTCATCTACGCGAAATTAGTAACTCTGTATATTCTCTGCATTAAAATCAATCTTCCCTTCGCTTCAAATTAAAATCTTTGAATAGAACAAATTGCAATTTCCAACGTACAAATTTTAAAAAGAAGAAAAATTAACTATCCTCTAATTTAATTTCCCCAAATCAAAGGGATCTAAGATCTGACCCGCGATAAGAAGAAAGCTCTGGGATTTGTATGGCGAAAGATTGCGACAAAGTAGTTGGAACCTTTTTTTTTTTATTCCGTTCTATCTCACAGCCCAGTGGTACGACAAAAAAGTGTTAAATTTATAGATGAATTCACATGAGAAAAAAAAATTGAAGATAAAAAATTCACCCATTTTTATTATTTTGATCGTGTACCAAATTTTACCAAAACAACACAGAGGTCGTAAAATTTTCAACTTGAATATAATTTTCTCATTTTCTATATATAGAAATAATTTAACAACAATGCGACATCTATTTAACATTGTTAAAATATGAACTTTACAGAAAATTAAAATACTCAACCAGCTCTAGATAGTAGCACAAGTAAATAGCATGTGCGCAATACAGATGTCGATAAAAAGATTATTGACCGTGCCACCTGAGATGAGCGATTGAATTCTATAGAATTGATCAGTTGGAGTTGAAAAGAGACCATATAGAACCCTAAATTTGGTTATGTCAACTGCAAAAAATTTTCTCAACAATGAAAACAAACTTTTAAATTGTCATTGATTCAACAATGTTTTCTAAAAATAATATAATTCACTTATAGCCGTAAGATAGACGGCATCAGAGGTTAAGAGCCATCCAAAGCACTCCAATGTTTCGGTAATTATTTATACTACTCGCAGCGCTTGTGTTTCTGATATTCATAAGAACTAATAACCTATAGCAGAATACACCGAACAACCATATTGATGATCTCTTCAGTGTGCTTAGGACGAAATTAAATATTATTATCACAAACATAGTTTGCATGATCGGTCGAATATGAGATACTATCGAAGAAAATAATACGACCTACATAATTGTATAAACAAATTTATTTGTATTGTTGAGTTTGTTGCTCTATTTAGAATTTTGTTGCTTGTTTAGATTCTGAGCAATCATTAATAATATTTCCAACCGTCCAAATGTATTTTTCAACTGCTGGTTTGACGTCACACTGAGAAAAGTGCATAGTTAGCTGAATTATAACATCAGAAGTATAAAAATATAGTTTTTGTCCTATCAACCGCGAAAGTTGGATTTTCGAGTAACATACAGAGGGCGCAAAGAATACGATTTACGGCAATCTATAGTTTAGTAACTTCGCTCTCTCTATCTGTCTCTACGTTTCTGCACGACTACGCTAAAATACGCTATAAATGAGTCGAATTACCTATTAATTCGACAAACGTCCGCTGGGTTGAGTAAAAATCGCAAAAAGAATCTTAGCGACAGTTGGAATCTTGTAAACAACTTCAACATATACGTACGTTTAATCCATCGCTGACAAACTTGAAGTGAAGGCACACGTTTGAGGCTATGGGTACATTCTCATCAAAACCTCGTACTATATCCGGACTCGTTACGCTCGTCCGGATAAATAACTCGGTCTTGATAAGAATGCGCCCATAGCCTCAAACGTAACGTCACTTCAAGCCATCAAAATACCTACCTTTGCGCATATGTATCGAAAATAACTATTTCTGAACTTTTTTTTGTAGTTACTCAAACTATGTATTAGTTAAAGTAACTATAGATAAATAGTTATATAAATTATCTTTGAATAAATATACATCTGTTATCATGTTAAACAAAAAATTATTAGGTGACTGAAAGGTTGTTATAGAGGATACCTTAGATAGCTTAACTGGAAAAGCCCTTGGTGTGTAACCAAAAGTTCCGGGTTCGATTCCCGGTGCGGGCTGTTCGAACTATTTTTTCTATTTTCAGAGTTAAAGTTAATCAAGATGACTATTAAGCCTATATTTAACTAAAAATAGTTTAAGTAACTATGTATTAGGGTTCAATATAATAAATAATTTTAGGTACAAGAACTTCAATTAAATAATGGTGATGCTATTTAACGAGATTTTGCTAGTTCAGAGAACCAGATTTTTCTCTCAGTGTCTTATTAACCTCTGCTGAATGTCTATGTCTTTATGTAAGACATAAATATCCATTCATAGATATAGATCCACATACAATATGTGCGGATTTGGTGAAAAGCTAAATCAATTTGGAGTGGAACAGAAAACAGAGTGAGAAAACAGGGATCTGCATGATACGTTGATACGGAGAGCTGTTGCCGACTGGAACTGTGGCGACGTATGTCTACCACCATGCACCCAATACATATGTGATACTCCAGAATAGAGTGGTACAGAGTAACCCAGACTGCAATGCTCTTGACTCTTTAACCAAAACCTATAGAATAGCAACAGTTGCACACAGTAATGGCGGTCTGCTGGAACATAAATTATCCTCTTGTCTCTCTTGTCCTCACCACCCCTACCTTCTCCCTCGCATATATATATATATATTATATATATATATATATATATATATATATATCATCTGTGTAGCCAGGGATGTGTGGGTGTAGGTTAGGTACAGAGGACCGAATTCATCAGTATCCTCTTTGGGAAGAGACCTGCACTGGTATTTTCTATTCCATATCCGCTAGCACCCCGCCCGGCCCGGCGCCATCATTTCCATGGAGAATTCGAAAAAGGAGATAGATTACAAACTCTTGTGTATACTCTGGATTAAAATTATCGATTTCGGATGTTGGATGGATGTCGTCCTGGTTTCCCCGCACTTCTTTCCGGTGTTTATGTGCGTGTATTCGCTACTGGGTTGCAATGTTAAAAGTTCGAAAGGTTCATCGATATCTGGTTATTGTTACGAACATGTTATCTCGTGGATAAGTTAGTTCTCAGGAATTGTGTTTTTGTTCCGAAGGATTCTGTTCTCCGATAAATTACTGATTAGTCGATGAATTACAACTCTGGAGAAGTAAGAAATAAGTTTGGAAAATCCATAAGTGCACGGGTCATAACGCTTGTTTAATTTTTGAGGAAAAAATAAATTGTATTGATAAAAAGTCGATTTCTTTAGAAATCTAACTATTGCATTTGATCTTATAAAGAGTAACGGAGAAGTTACCGAAACTTTTGTTGTTTTATGTTTCCGGGGGTCAAGTAGGTTCAGGAAATAGAGTTCGTATAAAAGTTTAAATATGTATGAATATATATGTGCATATATATATAACACAATAGCATCTGCAATTCTTGAGGGATCTTTATGATACTCGTTACACTTATTCTTTTGGGTAAATACCTTGACCGACTTTCAAAATCAGCAAAATTGGCCGATTATTGTAAGAATAGTGCTCATTTATTT